ACATTAAGGCACAGGTGAAACACATTGGGACACAGGTGAAACACATCAAGGCACAGGTGAAATACATCAAGGCACAGGTGAAACACATTGGGACACAGGTGAAACACATTGAGGCACTGGTGAAATACATCAAGGCACAGGTGAAACACATTGGGACACAGGTGAAACACATTGAGGCACTGGTAAGACACATTAGGGCAGGGCAAGAATTTACAAAGGAGGGAAACTTGACAGGACACGGGATCTGAAACAAGATGAGACAATGGATACCAAAATAAAACAGGAAACACAGAGATGACAAATGAACATGAATCTAGGCAACTTGATGGGTCAAGACATTAGACATGTGTGACATGCACATTGCTCCACAAGGTGTGCCTGTTTCCCTGGCTGTTCTTTCTGTTACACAGCTGCTGTTTTTTGGGGTCTTTCTACAGACATTTCCACACACCCAGACACACAGACATGACTGCTTACTGACTTTCACATTTATTTGATTATTCATCATTATTTTGTGAACAAATAAGATTTTAGCTCTTTGTACACTCGTTGATGCAGCCTCAGAGAAAGGCTGGAACAACATTACAGTACCGATGTGAGCATGTGTAGTCCAGTATTCTCTGCACTTTGTAGCACACATTCAACACATCCCTGTATGCACCTGTGTAAAGATACAGTGTGTTTGTGGTCTAGCTGTTGTTTATCTGTTTTCATACCTACTTGCCTATGAGGTAGATTATATCTGTTGTTTATGTCTGGTCATCTTTGTTTAGCTCCAGTACACTGTCTCTGTTGAGCTGCATGTCTGTATCTGTATGTGCCTGTAGATTTGTTCTCACGGTGTGTGTGAGGATATCGTGAGAGCTGCTGACAAGCAGAGTCCAATTCCTCGTACGTGTCAACATAATTGGCCAATTAAGTTGATTGTGTTAGTGACAGGACAGCTGGCAGACGTCTTAACAGATTTAGAAATACAGTTAAGCTCAAGCACGATGACTCAATGTCACTTTTGATGAAACTTTATACAGTTACACATCTCTCTGTTCGGTTTTAGTATTCCAGCTGCGTTTGACTGTGTGTGTGTGTGTGTGTGTGTGTGTGTGTGTGTCTGTGTGTGTGACTGCCTGAGCTTCATCTCATCACTGTGTTCTCACGTTCTGAAACCCTGATGACTAACAGAGCGTTCACACGAACTTTTCAGGACTGAATTTGTGCAGAACAAAATCATTATTTCCAGTGGTAAGAACAAGCTGTAACAAAGCGTCCTGCCCTGATTTGCTGTCAGGTTTTAAACTAAACTACGCTGACCTTTGACCCCGAACACACTGACCTCTTCGATTAGAGGCCAGTGGGATTGTGGTGTTGACGAGAGGCTGAAGTTACAACAGTGAAATCTCACTGTAGAGAAGGACAGAAGAGAAATACATTTGTGCATCAGTTATGTAACTCTGCACTTTGATCCTAAACAATCCTGACATGACAGAAAATATCTGAGAGGACATGAACGCCAGGTTAGAAAATAAATATTCTGATTGTTTACACTGCAGTGCATCATGGGAACACAAAACAATATCTTTATTGTCACTGTAAAAACACAGCAAGATTCAGCCTTCAACTACAGCACAGAGCTGAAATAAACAAGTTCATACAAATAAGTTCAAACAGCAATAAATAGAGATTATAAAACGTATAAGGCATTTCAGACAAAAGTCAGAGAAATACCTGAATTAAAATCAAAATCAGACTTCATCATTCGACTCCTGTATTTTAACACTGTCAGACTCACAATGGATATTTTTTAAAAAGTTGATGCATCAGAGACGTCATATTCTCAGGGCTGCAAAATTACTCAAAATATTATCACGACTGTAATATTAGCAATATCCAAATTTAAGGAGCTGCTGTTTGGAGGTAAAATGTGTCATAACATGATGTTATAAATAAAGCGCTATGGTGCTGTAGAGATGACCCAACCTACGAATCATAATCCAAACATAAGGGCACATGCTCATCAGGTACAGACGACAACAAAAATTACATCATCATTTTTTTTATTATTTTGTTTTTGGTGAAAATTAAATTTTCACAAACAAAAGTGACTTTTGCATATGGTGCAGCCTTATTATTTTTCATGCCACACATTCTTTATTCTTAGTCAAAACCTGGAGCCTACATTACCCACAATGCAACCTGAATGCTGACAGTTTGCTCTGAGATTTCCTCACATATGTGGTAGTGGGGCTGCACAATTATTCAAATTTAAGATTTTGGCTTCTAACAATTCAATGAACATGATAATTTTGACTTTTAAAATGCTTTGCTCAGAGAAAACTCTGCTGCACATCAAATCAAGCGCTCCGTGAACCTGGCAGGAGTGTAGCTAAAGCTTTAACCACGCG